CAGACTTATCCCACAGATGTGACTGTTGTGTGATGAAAACCTCAACATCTGTAATAAATGTGTTTGGCAGTGTTGGGACATCAGCTTCACTTGTGACGGTGCAGAGATGACCCAGCAGCTACTGAGCACAGGACTTTAAATAAGGGACGTGACAGCTTTCATCACACAGAGAGGGGGGTGTTTGGGCTACAACAACTTTAACGGGCTGCAACATCACATCCTCAGGAGGGCCCAGAGCGGCATTTTATCACATCTACGCATCTGTGATGAGCCACAGCTCTGTGGCCTCCTGTCAGCAGCCTGCCCACACAAAGTCTTCCACAGGAAGCAGAGACGAGACCAGTTTAACTTCAGAACACAGACGCTGAAAACCACAGGAAGTGACATGCCTGCTGTAGCTACACAGACGCTTCAGCTTTATGTGATTTACATGACAAAGAGATGGGACTAAGGACTGATAACGGCGTTCTTCAGGTCAGTCTGGGTGGTGGAGGCGTGAGCACACGAGGCAGAACCCACCTTCAAGCCAGGTGTAGAAACCTTCTCCTGCAACATGAGCGACACGGACAAGAAGAGTGAGGTTTCAACACGGCTAAAACACATCAACATCAACGTCAACGGAAGTTTAGTTTACTCACCATCATCGTCTCCTGAACACACAAACAGAAGGAAGGAAACTGTTAGATCGGTGCAGTGATTAGGCACACACATAGCACACAAGTATGAGCTCTAGTTTCACACACAGACATCTAAGATACACTGAAGAGCTGCGTTTTAATCCAGCTCTTTACTCAGGCTGTAGTAGCCTGTGACACAGTATGCAATAAACAGGAGGAGGCGAGCCGCTGAAGCAGGTACACTGATGTGTGAACAGTTAGAGCAACATGACAGGAAGTTCTCAGAAACACTTCAGTTGGGTCATTTATACCTGACTAATGTGTGCGTGTTTGAGAGCCCAGGAAACAGCTCGTGAGCTACTGTTGACGTGTTTGCTGCAGAAGCAGCTGCTCGCCTCGCAGTCTGACTACAGGCCGGTCTTTCTGGAAACGGTGACGGTGTGGAAGAACCGGAATGGCCTGTGCAGGCACTCGGCTCCCTGACAGCACACCTTCATTCAGCTGGCAGACTGTGTGCTGGCAGCATGACGTCACCTCAGTGTGCCATGAGCACAACTGACAGCATCCAAACACACAGCCGGGTCTGCAATGGCACAGGGCATTCTGGTTCTTCCACACCGTCACCGTTTCCAGAAAGGACTGTAAGCTGTCGTCTCTGAGGCGTGTTTGTTTTTAACATAGGTCACGGTGGAGCTGCTGACATGATGTGGATCCGAAGATCCACAACTGGCTACCTGGGGTCAAAAGTCTCCATAAATGCTTAAATAAAAAACGTTTCGTATACCGGCTTCCGCGAGTGTGACGCTTATTTTGAGTGATGAAACAATAATAAGATATAATTTTATTTTTATATTTAAAAATCACAACAATCTTCCAATTTAGAACTACAAGTTAAAAGAACTAAACACAAATAAAATACACTTCAGCTCAATACTTCTCATTTATTTTCCCAAACCACGCGGAGCCGCAGTATAAGGACTAAAGAGCTGCAGGTTGCCGACCCCTGACCTAGGGTTTGTCTCACTGATCATTAAAATTCCAACAACTGAACCGTGAGCGGCTGCTAAGCCCTCCTCCCACGTATACCTGCACAGCAGGGTCTGTAAAGGTAGCAGCTCACCTCTGCTGGGAGCCAGAGGGTTCAGAGGTCGATACACCGACCTGGGCCTGTGGATACAAAAACACATTTTCAGTAGCACCTCAGAGACGAGCATTTGTGTGCAGGCAGCTCCAGGCTTACTTGAAGCAGTTCTCCTCGTAGATGCTGTTCCACACTCTCCAGGCGGACGGACCCTTATATCCGGTGAATCGCTCCGGATTCAGGAGCAGATCCACATACTCGGCATCTGGAGACGTCTCATCTGCAACACGTTTCATGGATTAAAAAAGCCTCTGATGGCAGTGGCTCGGGGGCATCATTAGAGATATTTCCTTCTTAGCAGCGCGGCTACAAATGTGCCGTTTAACTGAGCACATTCATGTAAAGAGCTGGAATAAGGACACATCGTGCCCGTTACACTTTTGTATTTTGGGTTTTTGTAAAGGAGGAGTTTGTCCTGGTAGTGAAGTTTGATGCCTCACAGATACACAGAGTAAAGAGATGCTCACCGTCCAGCTCACAGAAGTGATCCTGAGCGTCGTCGTGTCTCGCCCAGTCAGCGAACGCCTCCTTACTCTGGTTACTGGAACCAGAAAAAATACACATGTTCTAACTTTACTCGACAGCTAACAGGAGATCACAGTTTGATCACAACGTCCACGTAAATGTTCATTTTCATGTCTCCCATCACGTGACTCTTAATGAAGGAAGTCTGTTTCCAGTAAAGGTCACGAGTCTGAAACCAGCATCAGCAAAAGCTGCAGGGATGTTTCCCTTACTGCACATGCAAACTGCACATGCACTTAAGTGTGCGTC